CCGAGGGTTCGGATCCCATGTGGAGACCGGTTCCCGCTCACTGGCTGAGCGCGGTGCGGGCGCGACACCAAGGGTTGTGATCCCGTTGCCGGTCCCCAGTATGGAAACGACACCGAGGGTTGCGATCCCGTTACCGGTCAGTAAAAAAAGACAAAAAGACAAAAAAAAAAAAAAAAAGATGACTGGGAAGGGGATCTTAACCCTTGACTTGTTGTTGTTAGCACCACGCTCTCCCAAGTGAGCCACGGGCTGGCCCAGTTCCATGAATTTTTTGAAGACCCCTCATGTATGAAGAAGTAAAACTGAAATTGCTGTACAGGGATTCACTAGTGAAAACCTTTGGGGAAAAAGTGATGGCAATGAATTCAAAGTCCCAATGAAGTGAAATATAAAAAAAGTTGGGGGAAACTACATATTCATTTCTCTGAATCTAATTCAACAGTGGAGTCATTTTCTAATTCCCAGTATTTTAATTAAAAAAATAACTATAACTCAGAAAAACACAATTTGAGAATGCGGGGAGAAAAGAATTCACACACAAAAAATCTTTAAGATGCTCAAGCAGAAGGTAGGACAGGAATAATCTCCAGTAGAAGTATTTCTGGACACATTATATTCTAGATTAGGGAATTCTTGGTGTCAATACCCTGAATCTATTCTTGCTGGCAGTTTATTGAAGAAAGGAGGGGCAGAAAAGAAGATGGGAAAGAGGCATTTCTCTAAAATGAGGGTAACAATAATATCCTGGATAACTGTTTCCTCTACACCAATTATTTGTATATCACCTTCACGATTTTTGCTGTATCAGTTAAAAAGGAAACATTATATCACTACAATAAACAGAAAACCTGTAAAACATGCTACATAGATGGTAACCTTGAAGATACTATAATAAAGATAATATTAATAATCTAGATAGGTTTATTTGCCTGCTGGCATGCCCTGAGCCCCTGACATGTGTCTCATTGTTAAATTGGGAGATTACAAGTATAAAATTGCTAAAATACATGATAGAGTGGGATGTCTAACGATGGCAGTATGAAGAGGCTAGACAATTCCTTCAAAAGAAAACAATTATAAAAACAACAAAAATATTACAAAAAACATCTGAAGGTACTGGCAAATAATCAAAAGTGGGTGGAAAGTTGGGTGTTGATACTTGAAAGATGCATAAGGTAAGAACTGTGAGTTTGTGGCTTTCTTGCCTGACGGCACTTCTCAACCTCCCTGGCTCAGGGAGGAAAATCACAGCCTTATGAGCTCCAGGGAGAAGATGGCAAAGTTCAAATCAATAGAGAAGCTGGAAATATAAAGAGGGAAATTTTGGAAGCAAGATAGACACATAGGACCTGAAATCTAAAGTGTGAGTATAAACTCTGTCCAAATTCCTAGCTGAGTGTTAAACTCTGCAAGTGTACGGGACACCCTATGAAACCCAGCTAAAAGGCTGGCAGAAACTAGGGTGGGGTGTCTATCCTTGCAAAACAGAACTGCTCTTGGTGAGATGTGGAAGTTTCTTGTGCCTTTGACTGAACTTTTTGCCCAAAGTGCACATATCTCAAGCTTCAGACAGCAGAAGCCTTACTGGCTTGAGGTATCAGAAGACAGACTTGAGACTGGAAACATGACTAGAAATCTACAGGGAACCTATAAAGGAAGAGAACAATTAAGTAGTGAGCACCAAAATGTGAAGGTAAATTCTGTCCAAATCCTTGGCTGACCCCAAAACTACACGGTCTAGTGTGACTCCGGGTGTAGCTGAGGAAGCAGTAGTTAGAAGCCAAAAACCCCTGTGCAGAGACATTATCCACTGCACACCAGAAGAGACAGATTTTGCAGTTTGAGTCAGGCAAGTTAACTTCCTACTTGAACAAAAAAACAACAATCCTCAGAAGTACAAAGAGGGTATCAGTCACACAAGGATAACCTACAATGTCCAGTTTTCAACCAAAAACTTTTGGTTGAAAGATAAACTGAAAAGTATGACCCATTCAGAAAAGAAGTGGTTAACAGAAACTGATTCTGAGAGGGCCTGCGAGTTAGATTTAGCAAACATGATTTCCAAGCAATTATTATAAATATGGTTAAAGGAAAAAAATGGTATTATTGGGTGAACACACGGGGAATCTCAACAAAGAAATGGAAACTGTAAAAGAAGAACCAAATGGAAATTGCAGAGCTGAAAAGCACAATAATTGAAATGAAAAAATTACTATGTGGGCTCAAGAGAAAATCTGATATGGCAGTAGAAAGAATCAGTGAATGTGAAGATAGAACATTAGAAATTATCCAATCCAAAGAACAAAGAGAGGTTTGAAGAAAAAGCAACAAAATCTCAAGATGTATGGGACAATATCAAAATGTTTAACATATGTGTAAATGGAGATCTAGAAGATGAGAGAAAAAATAAATAATAATTGTAAACTCCCCAAATTTTGTGAAAAACATCAACTTACAGATCCAAGAAGCTCAACAAACCCCAAGTATGATACACAAAGTATAATAAACCTAGGCACAACACAGACAAGCTTCTGGAAGACAAAGATAAAAAAAAAAATCTTGAAAGCGGCAAGGTAAAAAGGACACGTTAGAAATAGGAGACAATGACATGATTGATGGCGGGCCACTCATAAGAAACAAAGGAGGCCAGAGACATTGAAATGACCTATTCAAAGTGCTGAAAGAAAAAATAACTGTTAACTAAAAATCCTATGTCAAGAAAAACTGTGTTTTAAAACCAAAAGTGAAATAAAGATTTTTTCAGATAAATAAAAATGAGAGGATTCACTGCTAGTAGACCTGTCCTACAGAAAATAATGAAGAAATTCCTACCAAATGAAAGTAAATGACAAGATGGTAACTTAGATATACAGGAAAAATGGTAAATATGTGGGTAAATATAAAAGACTAAATGTATATCTTTTTCTTTGGTTCCCTTATGTTCCTTAAATGACATACAACTGTTTAAAGCAAAAACCATAACACTGTAACATATATAGATGCAATATATATGATAACAATAGCTGAAAGAGAATGGAATATAAAGGGGCATAAAGGAACTTTTTGGAGTGATGTTCCAGATCTTGATTTTGGTAGTGGTTACACAACTGTGTGTCAAAACTCATCGACATGTAAACTTAAAAATGGGTAAATTTTATTATACCTCAAAAACTGTTGAATAAAAAACACAACATAGTAGTAATTTCTCCTTGACTAATTAAGATAGAAAAATAATTGATAAAGAGCTAGTTTTTTTTTTTTTCCTTTTTGTCTTTTTTCGTGACTGGTAATGGGATCGCAACCCTCGGTGTCGCACCCGTAGCGCG